AGTAACCAGCAGAATAACTTAACTGTGTGCCTTGAGAATGATCTCTACATTACCAACATAGTTTAAAATCATTATACAAGTCGGAGATACGCGATGCAGTCACCTTGTGGTAGGCATAGGTGGAGAAGGGACTTCGCCACTTCAACTCATTGCAATACATTGCAATAAAAAGCCCTAAAAAGTATTACAACCATGGCAAAGACACATTTAAGACACAGACATTCGCGTACTGAATGATATTCAAGACATTGTAGTGCTCTTCATCCGCGGTTATTCCATTTTGTTTAGTGGCTTAAAATGGAATAACGACTGAACCTTTTCTAATTTTATTTTTAACTTAGAAGTGCTTTGAGTTGAGGACATTGAATTGTTAAGATTCAGACTTAATTCAAATACAAGGAACCGCCTGAGAGTCTGATTAAGAAGATTTGAATGGAATCTACGAGTAATGGCAAACATTTGACTGTTTAACAGTTCACTGTGTGAGACAGCTACAGCTAGACAAATGTCAGTGTTTGGGTTCCATTATTATGGCTGCAAAAACAACCTCTCTCTTGGACGCAATCACACCAGCTGTGAGCTTAATAAAGACAACCTTTATAGATCAAAACAATTCAAAGATCGTTGTCTCGTTATGATTCAAAATTCCATTTATAAACGCCATAGAAGAAAATAAAATTTAAAACAATGGAAGTATTTTAATTATCGCTTGCTGAAAGAGGGTGGCCAGGATAATCTAAAGGTCTGAATGCGCTTTTTCGGTATTCTTCCTTGAAAATTTGTTTTTTTCTTCTCTCTGGTGTATAACAAAAATACTCATGAGGTAAAGTTCGTCTCACTGTTTACGATAACACATCAGATTACTAACGTAATTTGAAACATTCAAGGTGTAAAACTTCTTGCATGAGTGAGTTGAGAACATTTTGTGGTTGAAACAGTTAATTGCCAAAAAGACTTCTTGTTGCACGACTCAATCACTTGGAACTTTAAACCATGCCTCACACTACTCGTTCGGCCCATAAGAAACTGTTCTCTGAATTGTATATCATTCAGTCCAATAACAGAAGCGCTATGACTTTTACGGCTTTATTTTTGACATAGTTTTTTTCTTTAGTAATTTATTTTCCCTTTCCTCTGAGTTCTTTTCACGAATGAATGGGGAGGCATCAGGACCAACATTCGGTGTTAGTAATAACGAGAGTTAGTGAAACTCAAATTATTATTGATGTGGTGCTTGTAAGTCCGGATAGTTGACTGTAAATCACTCTTTTTGCCAATGAATGTCATGTAAAATTTTGCTTGTCAAAACCGTTTATGGGGGTGTACTTAGTGTATATAACTCTTAGTTTTGATCTTTCATTACAAACTCCTGTCATAGTCTCTGTCTAAAAAGACAAAAGTCGATAAATAGCCAGCATTCTATAGAGGGAATTGTTACCAAGGTAACATGACATAAATATAAAGATGCCGTGTTATAAATTTGTAAGATCGAGTCATTTAGACTGTTATACCATTAGCTTTCGTCAGGGCAAAGTTGACTAAATATGCAAGCTTCACCTCTAGCCAGTTGTCTTTTCTAAGCCTCCAGAGATTCTACCAACTTGAGGAACAAGACAAAATAGAAAAACAAATTAACATATTCTGCAAAAAAAAAATTGATTCCAAGGCATGTAACTTTACAATTTGGAGTGCAGAAAAGTAAAATATTGTGCAAACCATGGTAACAATTGAGTGAAGTCAACTAAGTGAGCAAGCTGTACCTCTAGCCAGTAGTATCTTCTGAGCCCCCTAAGATCCTACCTGGTAGAGGTACAAGACCAAATAGAAATAACTAAATGTACACATATTCATCAAAAAAGTGATTCAAAGAAGTGCAAGACTGATTTGGAGTACAGAAAAGTAAAATGTGAAGCAAACTGTAGTAAAAATTGGGCAAAGTCAACCAACTATGCACGCCGTACCTCTAGCCAGTAGTATTTTCAAGCCTCCTAAGACCCTACCAGCAAGTGGTACAAGAAGCAAGCTTTACTCTAGCTGGTAGTATTTTCTAAGCCTTGTAAGACCTTACAAGCTAGTGGTACAAGAAGCAAGCTGTCCCTCTAACTGGTAGTATTTTCTAAGCCTCTTAAGACCCTACTAGCTAGTGGTACAAAAAGCAAAGCTCTAGCTCTAGCTGTTAGTATTT